ATCAACCCTGCCTCTTGCACTAGTTCTCGATATCAGGCACTTGGAAAATGACTGAGCAGCTGAGAGCTCAATTGTATACTTACTGCCTAGAAAAAAATAGAGAAATATAGGGATTGCCCTGCCTAAGAGTCTGACAAAAGTAGACCAGGGACCAAGAACAGAACCTCTTTTATTCTGAGCCAGTTTAGAACAGTGCCTTTGGTCTCTGCCATATGGAGTTAACAGAAATTCAGTTACATGCTCTGCTGTGGCTGTACAGGAAATTTGAAGGCTCTGTGCCTTCACAACCCTAGGCCAATGTTCAATTAATGCAGCTTTTTTGCATTTCAAGTATCTGAAATCTTTTGTATGAGAAAATTCTGGTGGCAGGTATGATTTGCACTGTTGGAAGGTGCAAAGACAGAGATGCAAGAGCACTGCAGTCTGCTTAAAAGACTGCATAAACTGCAAACTTGCATATAAGACAATAAAGAGATGTTATTTTTCCATATAACCATGGCAGGAAAGCCACTGAGACTATTTGTACTATATCAGCTACATTTCTTCAGACTCACAATTTTCTTTGCTCTCATTCTGAAAGTCATGATAAAGTGCCATATTACTTTTCTCATGGTGCTCTTTTAAGCAGGCATGCTTGACAAAATTACCAGTAATGAGCACCAAAAGCTGTGAATCTATTCTTGTATCTATCAGACATTTAAATAAGAACCAGTTCATGAAGGACTTCAATCTAKTTAAAGCAAAGAAACTTACAGTAGGAAACAAAGGGCAGATTTTCCTTTGGCAGTAGGTGGGTTACCTGGTTATAGGATTGGAGGGAGTTCTTTTCAACCCAAGAATTGCCAAAATTCTTTGATGTTTCCAAGAGGTAAAAGGTGGAGTATTTTGCCAGCTGTCTGGGTGCTAGGTTGGGGCTGTCCTTCTAAAAGCTTGGCTGGTAACTATACATGTAGTACAAAGATTAAAGAACACTGTTACATCTGATTTCCATCTGAAATACCAAGGAGCTGATTTTGTTGTCTGCTTAGGAACTGCACTGGKTTCAGCTCAGTGAAGTTCATACTCTGTATGTCTAGCTCTTTGGAAGAACAAAGCTGCTTTTATGAAACATTTCTYGGTAACGACTTAAATGAAAATATAATCTGAAAAACACAATCGTTGTAAAATTAGCTGCTAAATTCTACTGAGCTTTTGATACATTTAGTTATTTCCTCTGGGGCATTTGAAATGCTATGATAGCAAAATTTTGTTTAGTATCCACTCTCACTTGAGAGTGACTGCAGCAGAGCAGGTTTCAATGAGCCACTGGGTCTTCTGCCTCGGTTAAGAATGAACTTCAAGAACTGCACAACAGTGATGCAATGTGAAGGGCCAAACCCACCTCACCAATCCCAATATGTCCTGTCAGCCCTGGAATTCTAGGCAGCTGTGAAGACAGGTTAACAGCTGGAGCACTCAGCTTCCATTTGTTCTCAACTCTCACGCATCTCTAATCTTATTTACTCAGTGTCTCAATATTTAACTCCTGGGCAGAAAATGTCATGCCTCAGCTCTACCCAAAAGTGAGGATTTTATGGAAAGACAAACAGAAATCCTCAAAGTATTTGCAACTTCAGGATATATGAAGTTCATGGAGAGATAAAACTACTGTAGGTTTCGTTCTAGTAGCAAAAGAGGCTTGGAATATAAAAGATCACAGCCCTTAAGAGGACAGAGGCTTAACTTTGGGGSAAGTACAGTTCTGAAATAAAACACAATCACTGGGAAATTACTTCAAGAAGTATTTCACCTCAATTTTTCACTGCAGCTCCAGCAAACTGAAGTGTATCAGCAAGACACTAAGAAAGCACCGCCCCTCCAGACACACACAAACTCTACCCAGCCCCACGCTAAATTCTTCCAGTGTCAGTTACAACATCAAAATGACAAAACCCGATGGTTTTGTTCAAGAGAACATCTTTTACTGCCTAGGAAGAGGCACAAAGCAGCAGGTGGTATTTGTCTTTTCCCGTGCTGAAAGAAGTCAATCCCCTGTGCTCCARTTACACATGGAATTCTGGTCAGTGAAGTGCAGCCCATTTCTGTGACAGCCCTGACACTCCAGCACAGTATGTACCCTGTGGCTGGGACGGCAAAACCTTCATCCAGCTCCTTAAAGGCTGCCACTGCCTCATAAATCAACTGGAATAACTCAGGTAGGGCTTTATCCAAAGGCCACTGAAATCAGTGGAAAGCTTCCCACTGACTTCAGCCAGCTCTGGMCTGGTACCTCAGGGCTTTATCAAACCATTGTGCCAGGCACAGGATTCCCTCTGCCCCGGGGAGCAGGACAAAGCCTCGGCTTTGCCCAGGAGCAGCTAAAGATGTAGCAGATCCATCACCCTGGCAGCTCAAGGGTCCTTTTTTTCCCTGACCTCACACCCCATCAGTACAAACCAGACACAAAATGCTACCAGACAGGCACGAGTCACCACTGCCATGCTTTGTCCTGGGTTTCCAGCCCGTGCCTGAAATGTCTCCTTTCCCCCCTGAGGTAGCAGAACTGCTGAGTCCCCGCCAGGCTGAGCACGTGCAATAAATCTGACAGCCTTGGAAAAAGCTGGACAGAGTCCCACATGTCTGCTGTTGGACACATGCCCCCCAGACAGGTCTGCAGYGCTGCTCCAAACACATTGATGGGTCTCCAGAGACCCAGACAAATATAAATAGTAAAAAAAAAACTCTGGCTGGACAAAATTTCTGGGTGGACACAGTGAGACTCCTTGGGGAATCCAGAATGTCTGGAATACCTTGAAATTATAAGAACTTRAAGTGCAAAAAACCACTTTATTTCTGAGTTTGTTGTTAATTTTTGTCAGAGTTGCCACAGCATGAACTACTAGYCACAGCACATACCAGGGGTGAAAGGCAATGTCAGTCTTCAAAAGACAAAATGAGTTCTCCTTTCAAGAGCAGTCCTAAGCATTTGAACCTGGAACGCCAGGGCTAGACAAATATCACTCCCAACAGATGCCCAATGGAAAAAAAAAAACCAAAATACAAAGCCTAACGCTAGACTTAAAGGACTGAACTCACACTAAGCTTCTCCAAAGATTAAATATCTGGACATCAGTGGCTCCAGCATCACAGACACGTGGGAATCTGACAGCACATGTATCCTCACCAGTCCTAACATGGCCTMTGGCCCCTGCTGAGGGCATGTTTACATCAAGTCATTCCCTCTTGGGCATGCAGCGTATGAGTCCATGCTGTTACATTTTCACACCTCAGTCTTTTTTGGACACAGGCATCAGGCTAGAAAGACAGGCTCCCCAGGTACTTTTATCCCAGGAAAAGGCAAAATACCTCACTGCAWCTGGCTGAGTTACAATTACTGCTGAATGATATGGCAGCTCGCATTTCTGGGTTTACTGCTCTACTCAAAGAAGCCTAAACAGAGTATGGGAGACCTGGCAAATACATTACAGCCTACACAGTCATCCATCTGTCCATCTCCCAGAGGAAATGCTTGCAATCAGTGGAGAATTCCCCATAGGAAGGCTACAGCCCTCTGATGGGAGGGCAAAGGGAAATGACCTGTGCTCAGAACTTATTGAGGAACGTTTTAAACCACCATGCTGCGCTTTACCCACTTCATAAGACACCTGAAAGCATTCAGAGGCAGCTCTGGCAAACAGATCCCTGTAGCTTATGACATGTGAACATGTTGCAGTCATATTATCAAAGGCGAAGCTGATCCCCAAATCCCTAAAAGTCTGAATTTGCCAAAACCAATGAAGCATCACACATTCATTTGTTAATAGCTGCCCCAGTGCTATTGCCCCTCCCTCTGTGTGAGCACTGCAATGGGGGCAGATGCTCAGCTCAGCTCCTGCCCCATGTTGCCCTTGCTGGGACAGGATTTGGGAGGTCCCAGCTCACAGAGTCACATCCGAACTTGAGAATCAGGCTCTGTTATTGTTAAGGCAAAACCAAAAATAAAAAGGCCAGACTAAATTATTTTTAAGATCCTGAGATTTTTAAAGCAGTCTTGTGACTTTTAAGGGGTCTGACTCATGAYACTTGAATGCTTGAAGTTGGCAGCAGCAAAGGGAGTACAGCAAGATTTAGTGTACAGTAATTTATTGTTGAAAGCCTTCAAATGTGTGGGAAAGTGCATGGAGCGCATCTGCAGTGATTAGAGAGAAAAAGGGACACAGGCCCAAGCCCTTCTTGCCATCAAGCTACCCTGCTCCATSACAGGGGAGCATAATTATATCACTGAAGACATTACAAAATAAATGGAGTCTTTCTCCCTTCTTACAGCAATGTATATCATGTGAAATTTCATGAAAGCAAACAGAACTGTACAGGTGTAAAATGGGTCTAGTTAATGAAATGTCATTCCCAGTATTTTCATGGTATTTGTTTCATAAATTGACATCATCATACCCACACCAAATTCTGCTCTTATTTCACCAAAGTAAATCTGCAACCACTGTTACAAGTGCTGCTGTCGTTGCCCACATAAAGTGAGTGTAAATTAACAAAAAGCAACAGGAAGTACAAACCCCACAACAATTGCACAGTAATGGCAGACAATCCACACAAATACTACATCGCATATACCAAGTATAAACAACTTTCAATTTATAACTTTACCTTAAATACATATAATATCTGATGTATATAAATATCTGACTAACACAACCCCTTCTGCACACACAGCACTCACACAGCATCTGAGAATGAGCYTTCCTATCGATGATTTCACGTGGCCATATTTCACCTTCGCTGTTTGCATTTATCCGTGCAGCAAAACAATCAGAGGCCAGACATGTGCAGCAGTCTATGGGAATTAGACAACAGGCAYCCCTCATCTCTCCCACAACATTAGTAAAGCCATTTTATGGCACATATTGTCAGCACAAGCACTGTTTGGAACTTAAGGAAGAAGTTCTCAAAGCCACTGCTAATGAAAGGCAAGCCAGCAGCACCATTTTCCATATGCAGTAACTCACCTCTCTGCTTCCAGGCGCATTTCCTCACGCTTTTGYCTCCTGAGTTCTCTGCGGCGTTCAAAGTCATCCATGGTGGGTGTTTAAGCGTTCCAAGCTCTGGAAAGATCCAAATCTAAAACAGAGATGATCACTTAGATGAGAGTRAAAACACAAGGGAGGCATTTAACCAACTGAGCCCATTTAGTTTTGTTTTGCTGTCTTAACTTCRCTGTAATTATTTTGTTTTTCCATCAAAAAATTGAGCTTTCTCGGTATTGTTGAGATAAACAAGATTAATGAAATGTCTTGTAGAATAAACATAGCCCGAGCCTGAATTCAGTTTCCTWGTTAAAATTAAATCAACATGCTTTAAGTAAGGACTGTATACATCTGCTAGCCGCAGACTAGCTATTTGTAACGTCACAGGTCTTTTCCACTAACAAAAGCAACAATTCAGCAGGATTTTAACTTTAAGCTTCCAATTTTTCACCGCAAGAAGTAAAAAGCACTGCACAGGAGAGCTCATATTTTCTTCAGCTGCACAGATAATTAAAAGTTCTGCAAAAGTTAGTCCCCATCTGTTTCAACCCCCCTTCACAAACGCAAAAAAAAAAAAAAAAAAAAAAAAAAAAAAAAAAAAAAAAAAAAAAAAAAAAAAAAAAAAAAAAAAA